CCCCCCCCCCCCCCCCAACTAAATTTTAAATATCTGCATGTTCTCTACAGTAAAGCTAAATCTGCATGCCCCGCCCTCCATGTTATTATATCAACATTGTTGTACAGTAAGACCAAATTTATCACCATTCAGGGATTTTTACATCAAGGACAATAGCTGTAATGTTAAAGTTTTAATCATCATTCTAATTTGATCAGAATTGGGGCATCACCCCACAGCTATAATGACAACAACACAGAGGAACTATATAATTGGAATCACTATCACAACAATTTTTTCCAGCTGATGAACGATAAAATATTTACAGGCCAATCAGAATCTGCCTCACTTTAAAGAGCTTGAGCATTTAAAGTGGCAGCTGACATAACTACAGTATGTGCTTATAATAAACAGATTGTCCGTTGGTGTGGATGCTAATACATTTATTGTTATAAAGTTGTCCTTATACTTGTGTTCTTGGTGTGAAAGGGCCAATACCCTGCAGTACCAGATAGGGCTGCACGATAAATCGAAATGGAATCGAGATCACGATTCGACAGAAGCTGCGATTGTCATGCGTATCTTTCAGTGAAGCACGGTTCTGTGATCAGCAGTAAATCTCCATCCACATCATCTCACAGAAGAATTTACTTCAAACACTCGACTGACGTTATGAAGTGAGTTTGGAGTAAAAATATGTTATTAAATGTGGTATTTTCACATGCTTTCAGATGGAGCAGCATTTACTTCACAGAGCCGTAGTTCACTGAGAAGCTGTGCAAACAGCTGTCATTATCGCAAACGATTTCTTCGATTTCAGAATCGCACAATAAAATCGTCTGCGATTTTTTTTTTTTTTTTGCGTAACTTGTCAGTGTTCTCTGTGTAGTAAATTCTGCTCTATCTGAAAGCAGCTGATGATTTCCTGCTGATTACAGAACCAGTGTAATGGTCTGGGTGTCTGTCCCTTTAAGACTCTGATTCGGGGTTTCCTCTGCCCCTGTACTTGTGTGAATATGCTGGGGGAAAACGCATTGTACTTTCTATCGTTTTGTTGCACACTTCCTTTAACATTAATACATAGGCTGATGGTGACCTGCATCGTGTGTTTCTTTCTTCCATAACGCACAATAGGTTACACCGGCATTACTAAAAATTGTGCATGACAATCACATTCGATTAATCGTGCAGCCCTAGTACCAGAGTATTTTAATACTTTCATTTTTAATGTAAGATTTAAAATTTTTGTTTAAATGTGACTCTTTAAATTTGAATTTCAACATTTAAATGTTTTTAACTGACTTGGCAACACAGCAGAATACACAATTATAGGTTGAAGGTGAAACCTTTCTGAAGGCACTGTACTTAAAACTCTCCAGACATTCATCCTAACATATGCACTGTTAGTCCTTTTTACATTGTCAACGATCCAGTTTTAAGCAACTTTACGCATTGCACACACCCAATAGTATTTCCTGTATCTGTGGACTTCTGTGAACCTCTCTTCATCCAAGTGCTCTTATATGCAAGTCTGCTTCTCACTGAACATGTACAGAATGAAAAAAGAACTTAATCTCTGTAATTAAACAATATTCATTTAATTTCCTATTTCAAGAATTAAGCTTTAAGTGTTTATCAGCATGATACAAACTTTTAATCTGTGTGCTTTTTGTGATACAGTTATGCTGTATGGATCAGACTGGACAAATACATCTTTTATTTGCTATGCATCTGCCATTTAAGAAAAAAAAATGAAATCGTCAGAATGTTTAGTAGAAGTAACTGTAGTATAAACTACCCTCTGGTGGCAGGTTATTATTAACTTATGTACACACTGTAGTCCTCCTGCTCTTATTTTATTTAATAAGAACTGATACAGTTTGTGGTAATTTTTTACAACACAAATGGCACCGTATCTGTGATATTATCAGTGAGATTGAATCTCTATGTTACATTCATTTACAATATATGTGCTGCCATTACGCGTTTTCCATTGTAAGTCTACATATTCATAATGTACTTTCTTTTTTTATTTAGGTTTTATAATTGTACCCAACCAACCACATCCATTGAAATGCTGCCTATTCATTTTGAAGTGTTATCACACCTGTCAGACCTCTGAAAAATAAACCTGCTAGACAATTTGTTCTAGAGTCCTTTTACAATTAAGAGGTTTATTTTTGCAACAGCATACTGCTGTTTAGATACATTTGTTTATATACACAAAATATCATAAGTGTTAGTTAGCAATTATGTTAGATTTTCTATTTACTTCTTACATTTTGCCTAGTGTCATTTTTATTTTCATGTTCAATAAATCAATATTAGTCAACAATTCCAGAATTCCTGAAATGTCAAGTTGATTAGATTAGTCTTTTGCAATCTTTTATAATTATAACTAAACCCTAAATAGTATATTAAATAATGTTCTCAAAGATAAACTCAAGTAAAGATTACATTTATGTGTATCTAGTTAACTTGACTTACAACCTTGTTAGTTATATCAAGTTGTGTCGTACTGCGTCAGGACACTGTTGTTATGGATCAGGGTTCTTCCAGTTCAATGACTGAAGAACTGCCTGCTTTGAAACACTGGGAAAGGATCAGCTGTCCACTGATTGGACATTAATTAGCCTTCTTAACTGTGATTGGACAGTAGCAATTCCCCTTTCAGGATCTCAGTATGTGAACCAATGCTTATGGCAGAACATACTGCAATATGCAGGTGTTCTGATCTACAGCATAAATGCTTCCTTTTTAATGTTGGCCTTTTCCCGCTATTTCATTGTTTTCCTTCTTCATGTGTTTGATTTGCAGACACTCTTCAGTTGACAAGTATTCTTCCTCTACTTTATCTTCATCTATGCCTGATTCAAGCTCCCGAGGTTCTGAGAGAAGTTTCACGGTGATACTCTGCATTGGAAAAGCAGGTGTCAGCAAAACCTGAAATCATTGTATAACTGAACCTGATTGGTTGAACAGTACCTTGATGGTGTTTTGGAGAATCTCAAGCACCGTGTGTCCGCTGTAAGATTCCTGTGAATCAAACTCTGTCCTGAGAGACTGAAACACTCCATTCAGCAATCGCTTCACCTGCACCAGATACACCAGCTCAGTTTCAGTACACTTTACTACAGCAAAATAAGAGCTTTTAACCCCTCATCTGAACAGCGTCTGATATTTTGCTTATAGATTTTCATACTAAAATATTTCAAATGAATGTAAATACAAGACTAAAGGCATTCTCCGTCTACCTGCTCTACCTGCCACTTCCTCTTCCTGTCTGACAGGATCTGCCAGAGAAAACTGGATGATGCTCGAATACTCTTATTCAAGCATTAAATTAGACAGGTTAAAAGCTTCGTATACACTCATATCATACACACCTGATCCAGATTCTCCTTTTCAGCCCTCAGATCTTGCATCTCCTCATCCGTGTTTTGTATGATGTCCTCCATCTGTTTGCACTTCTGCTTCTCTGCCCTCTGCTGCGAATTGAGCGCCTCCTGCTGCAGCTGATGTGCTTGTGTGGTGGAGGAATCCAATTCTCCCGACAAATGAACCTGAAAGAGAGACGATTTATGGCATTTTCCTGATCACGCCATTCTCCAGCACACACCTACAATCAGATCAACATGCAAACATAGCAACCAAGCGAGTTTAACATACATAAAATTATAATATACTGAGCTAATAAACCCACATGGCATAGTTTAGCAAGCACATACTCTCCTAAAACACAGATGGCATTTAAAAGGCTACTTATTTGCATCTAAACATTACAAAACGATCTTTATAATTAATAAAAGTATCCTTGTATTCAAACCTGAATGATTCTCTGAATGTTGTGTAGGATCATGTTTGTCTCTAAGGACACAGAGGAGAGTCTGAAAGAGAGGTGACCCTCTTTTTGCAGCTCATCCACCTGAGAACAATGAATCAAATCTCGTTTTTTTTTTTTTGAAAAATAAAATAATAATCCATATTGCACCAATATACCTTGCAGCTCAGCTGGTCCACCCTGCGTGCCAGCTTTTCAATAGCCAGCAGAATTTCTGTGTTGTGTTGGCGAGCATCAGACATCAAGAATGATGTGATATCAGGTGCTATTTAAAACATGTTTGCATTTAGTGTAAAAATGGCAGTGACAGCATGCAGTAATTTTAATTGCATGCTAATAATAATAATAATAAGTAAAATAAAGTGACATTTCAGCAAGTATTGCGTGTACAAAAGTAATAGGCTCAGATCTTACTTTGGTATGGAAAGTGCTGGGATGGGTAGACTGAGGCAAATGAATCTAGCTGTGTTGGAAAATAAGGATTTTGTCTGAAGGAATATGGCTGTTGATCCAAAAAAGAATTCATTATTATTATTATTGCAATACTGTTTTTTGTATTTTAATATATTTATATGTTTTGACGTCTCTCTCTCTTTCTCTATATATACAGTATATACATACAGATAGATAGATTGGCTGGTGTTCTCTTTTGGTGTGCTTGGAGATGTACTGAAGGTGTCAACTGATTCCCGACTACGTCGGACTTTGGAGAATTGAACCTACATTTAGATAAATATACAAACAAAAAAGGAGTTAGAGAGAGATTAAATATGTTTGCTGGTATATTAAATTATATTCACAATGTCAGTGCCTTACTCTATGAATCTCAACATCAAACACCAGAGTGCTGTTTGCTTGCACATGGTTAAGGACGCCCTTTGAACCATGACCCATACTAGGAGGGACGATAAGGAGCCGTCGACCTCCTTTCTGCATGCCAAGCATCCCGTCCTCCCATCCCTGTGAGAAAGAGCAATGTAAGAGCTTGATGGTACAACAGCTGACAGAACCAACATTTTTCTGTTATACTGTACATTTCTTTAATTATCATTTTAAAGCATTGTTGTGTTCAAGAGCTGCTCACCCTCTGAGCTTTGCCTGCTCCGACCTTTACTCGCTGCAGCTTTTCTTTGCCCAGATTGGAATCAAATACCTGAAAAAACAGACAGAGACACTGAACTTTTGCATTTATAGATCTCCAGCTGCACAGCAAACATGCCAGACAGACTCATTTAAATTGCCAGTGAACTGATTAGTTCAGTGAGTGCATGACTTATATTGAGCTGCGACTAATCAACAAGAATGTGCACCGTGAGCTGCTGTGTGCTACATGTGCTCAACTACTAAAAAGAAAGAACATACTGTGTACATTTAGGAAAAGTAGTGATTCCACTCAGCATCATTTACAAAGAATAGAAACTCCTCGAGAATTAAAAGATGCTATAAACTTTTTAACATTTATTTATTCTTTATTTTTTGATACAATGTAATTCATCTGTACAAAAATACCATGAATAATCACCTGTCCTAGAGAATGGTTCTGTAAAAGCCATCCAGAATAGGCCACCTCCACTGTGTCCCCGACATCAACAGCTTGACCTTCTCCTTGGACCAGGTCCTGAGTGACCAGAGAGTCTGACAAAGCCTCACTGTTCCACCGGGCCACACACACCTGAGAGAAACATGCTCAGAGGTCATTTCACCAAATACATAGTGCATCTGTATAATTTTAAGATGTTTGCATTATAGCAATTTTGCAGAACCCCGCAGCTTTGAAGTAAATAAGAGGCACACTTTGAGATACAGAATAATTTATTCCAAATCCAGAATGCATCAATCTTTATTAAACAAACAATTGAGTTTAAGTATTACCTCCTTACAGAACTCAGGCCTGGACTTTGCTGAGTCAAACATTAAAGACCAGTTTTGTTGCTGGTCATCATAGAAAGTGACATAGTTATAGGGCTGAACCTGTGGACAGGTATAAAGAGCTGATGAGTGCAGCATCTAACACAACAAAACACAGAAGAATAGAATAGAATAGAATCAACACTCACTGTGAGGACAAATCCACGATGGATTCGAGCTGTACTGATCTGCTTTTGTTTACTGTCGTACAACAGAATCTTGTACTATAAGTGCAGATAGAAAAAAATAATAAAAATTACCAAAGAAAATACGCAGTGAAAAAAAAACTTTAAAATGTATTTGAAATTAATTTATTTCATACTAAGTATACTTAAAATACATTTAGATATTTATGTACTTAAAGTTCCCTGAAATTGTACTTTTAGTATGCTAAATTATTATAATTAATACATTTGAACAACTCATTTTGTACTTCACGCACTTTAATTGTGCCGAAGTTGTGCTGCAGTCCAACTAAAGATATACTGAAGTATATTTGATTGTGTTAAAGTGGAACTATTGCAAGTATACTTCAGGTACACTGAATGTGTCAGTAAATATGTTCATAGATTTGAACTATACTTATTATTATAATGTATTTAACATTTATAATTTTTTTTTACTAGAGATAAGCTTCTGTTAATTAGCTTCTCTTACCTCTTTGGTGACATGGTTTCCTAAAACAGCAGCTCCTATCTTGCCTTGCTTTACATATTGTCCATTCACACTGGTGGAAAATCAAAGCTCATTTAAGAAATGTGTGAACTAATGCTCATTCAAAGTCTCATAAACATCCTTTAATTGCCATATTTATACTAACAAGCTGAATGCATGAACAGCTGCAGCAAACAACACAGCTGGAGCACATGGAGGAGGGATGGACTTCTGAGGAGGCGGGCCTTAAGAAAAACACTGATTAAACCATGAGCAATTATGTGCTCACATTAAGATTCAAAATGATCAGAAAAAGGCTATGCAACTATTTGCTGTACCACCTAATTTGGCACAGGACTTTTTGGGCTGTTTAGGGGCGGTGAATTGGAAAGACTCGTTTCCCTGACTCTCTGCTCGGTCCAGACCAAAGAGAGAGGCCAACTTTGCCCTATAGAAATGCAAACACACAAACACACACACACACACACACACACGTTATAGCTTTACATCTTTATAGCACTTAATGTAAATCATTTTTAACTTAATGCATACAGATGTAAAAATCTCACAATGTGAATTTGTCACATGCAACTTATTTTAAACTTTATCACAATTACCCATTTAATGTTTTACAGCTTTCAAACAGCCTTCCGTATTTATCTAATCTGTTGTGATTTTAAATCCTAATGAATGTTTCAAATGTATGAAAACAAGCTATAGTTCACTTCTCAGTTGAAAACCATCTATGTAGACTTTCAATTAACAAAAACAACAGAAGAATTATGTTATGTGCAAATTACACAGCACATGTTTTGACAGAACATTGAACCTATCCACAGATGCCATTGCTAGAATAGCCAGATGCAGCCTGTTGAAAATACACTGTCAACAATATTGCAAGTGAAAAGTTCAACATGCTAATATTTCAAAATATTATTTACTTTAAAAATGACAATAAGTTACTACATTGATGGCATGCACACAAGAATCACCGGAACCAGCATGGATCAGAACTACAATTACAGAACAACAAGGTTCTGTCTAGCATCTATGATTAAATCCACATGAAAGAAGACACATTAGACCTGTTTGCACTGACCCTTGGACCTCTCTCCACAGATAGTCAGTGTCCCATACAGCTGACATGGCCATTATATATATATATATATACAAAAAGTATATATATATATATATATATATATATATATATATATATATATAGTAAGAAAAAAACATGTTCTTTTTTGCTCTATATATCTGTTAAATTAAATCAGAACATTTAACATAAATTCCAGTCACCTTAAGAAAAATTACACTTTGTCATTTAAAACTGAGTTTGGAGTTTAAAACCTCCCTTTTTTTTTCTCAACCCCCCTTTCATGTAGTCAAGTTGTTAACCTAAAATCTGAGGTAAAGAAAGAAAAAGAAAGGAAGGAAGGAAGAAAGAAAGAAATTGACATTATGGCTTTGAAAAGATCTTTTAAGTGAGAGTTCAGATGTACCTATTCTACATTCCTTTCATCAATAACATTTGATAAGATTGAGGTTAAATGTTAAATTTATTCTTATAGTGTTATCAGGAAATGAAAAAAAAAACATGAACATTTCTGTGCAGGACATGGAGTACTCTAAGAAAATTAAGAGAATAAAAGCTATAATTAAAGAATTGAAGGGAAACGACACCTTAAGCTTCTCTCTTAAACTAATGTTATTGTGTTAGCTATATTAACAATGTAAAGCACTTTGAGTGCTTTGAAAAGCGCTTTATAAATGTAAGGAATTATTATTATTATTATTAAAATTTGACAACAAATAAAAACACTATTTTCACATTAAATAAAGCTTGTACAAAATCACAGGTTGAGCTTAATGAGACATGATCAGGCTATAATACAATAAACAGACTCACTTCAGTAGTATCGTTTTAAAAAACACACTCTAAAAAATGCTGGGTTGTTTCAACCCAACTTTGGGTCAAATATGGACTAACCCAACTTTTGGGTTAGTCCATATTTGACCCAAAGATGGGTTGAAACAACCCAGCATTTTTAGAGTGCAATAATTCTATAACATAATTTAATTAAAATTATTAAAATATGTTATTTAACACTTGTTAATTCAAAGATTAGGCTATGAGTGCGACAACAACATGATATATTCTTTCATAACACTTACCCACTTTTAGGACACAGAAAGTCTCCATCGTTATAATCAGGAATAATGTCTTTAACTTTTTCCATACTATAATTTTTGAGTATTGTACAACTGGATGTTTTCTTAATTTGCTGGTGTTTTTTCAATTTGCATGTGTTTTCTTAAGTTGCAGCGCGTTGAGCTCTCTCGGCCACCGTAATTTTCACATTAAATAAAGCTTGTACAAAATCACAGGTTGAGCTTAATGAGACATAATCAGGCTATAATACAATAAACAGACTCACTTCAGTAGTATCGTTTTAAAAAACACACTCTAAAAATGCTGGGTTGTTTCAACCCAACTTTGGGTCAAATATGGACTAACCCAAGGGTGCAATAATTCTATAACATAATTTAATTAAAATTATTAAAATATGTTATTTAACACTTGTTAATTCAAAGATTAGGCTATGAGTGCGACAACAACATGATATATTCTTTCATAACACTTACCCACTTTTAGGACACAGAAAGTCTCCATCGTTATAATCAGGAATAATGTCTTTAACTTTTTCCATACTATAATTTTTGAGTATTGTACAACTGAGTCAACAGCGCAGGGTTCTGTGCGATATGATGAGCACAGGTAAGCGCGAGGACACTCACTGATAACCACAACACACACACACACACACACACACACACACACGAGCATGTGTGACAGATAATAGGGGATCGTTTGAGACTCCAATGGGTCAGTGATTAAACTGCAGCTTTGAAAGATTGTTATATAAATGTCGCATTAAAAAAAAAAAATGAATAAAATGAAAACAGTTTATCTGATCCATGATGCATATAACAATATGTAATGTTGTAAAATTCATGTTCAACGAAAGGTAAACCAGAACATATATAGTAATTGTTACTCATCAATTCTTATATTTATTACAAGACACAGAGTCCATAGTTGAGTAGGTCTATTTCTTCTCTGATAAATATTTATTTGGGGGTGTCCATATGTAAAAACCATTGCAGTGATATTTTACATAATTATATATGCAACATTACATAGACCCAAAGAAGACAGTTATACACAGTAACATTATGCACAAGAACAACTTTTGATGAATAATGACCAAATCTAAACAGAATTTAAAATGTTATTAAAGACTTGATATTTATTAAAAATGTGTTAATGTGCAAATTTACAACATTGAACAAAGAACTAAGAAACCAATGCTTTGCAAATGTCACTATTTACATTATGGCAATTAAAACATTTTTCTGTATTTAATTACATTTAATATCTAAAATACAATAAAGAATCACATGCGCTTTTTTTTAACCACAGGTTCACCATAATGCACATAATCTCAATACAAACAAAAAGAAAAAAGAAATCAGCAAAACCTGTTGACAAACCTAATTGATCTGTTTGTTTGAACAAACAAAAGCCAAAGCACATAAACATATAAAAGTTAAGGATTATTATTGTGTTAAGGCTTGTCAAAGACCGCAGTCCAGTGGAGTCCAGGCAACTCTGGTCTGGACTGGTCAAATGCTAAATAAAAATCTTCTTAAAATTTCTGTCCTTTTGAATGCTGTTGTAAACTCAAATGTCTCGACTGAACTGGTCAAAGATCAAGTCTAATTGACATAATCATCTTTAAAGCTTGGCTTTGGGCGTCTGCTCCAGCAGGGTCTTCATGTCTAACAGCGCGTCTTCTAGTGCTTGGGCCAGACGTGCTGCGTTAGTGTCCTGGCAGCTGTTGAAAGCAGAGACTGAAAAGTTAATGTGGGCATCCATGGGATTGTAGCACACACCATAACCATCTGGTACCACCGGGCCAAAGCACATCACACAGTCAGTTTTTGCTGGCACCTAGGAGAGTGGAAAAATTAAAAAGCACAATTCAAGCCTTTGTAAGATCATGAATTTTACATGATCTGATGATTTCAGGTTTACAGCAATATGATTTGAGCAGATTTGAAGAGTCAGTTGTTGTTAATGGCACAGTACATGCAATACTAAACAGGGTTTGTTCTGCATATAAGGGTTTATTAGCATGCACATAACCCTGGACCAGAGAGCTTTGTTTGACAGTACCTGGCTGGTGGAGAGGTTGAAGTGCAGTGCCACAGCATATGAGGTATCCATGAATATCTCTGGCAGGGCGGCCAGGTCCTCAATAGCCTGCAATTTCAGTCCGAGCATATGTCTGTCGATGGCTTGACCTCGGATGGCCTGAGGGATATATTTAGTGCAGACCAATAATGACTGATACACATACTTACAGGTGATCAGCTGAACATCACCAGCATGCATTTACTCACCATGTCTGTGTAAGCTCTGTGTGCTTTAACTGCTTTGTCTAGCAGAGCCACTTTCTCTGTGTTCTGTCAATCAAAATTAGATTGTTACATTTTCTCTCATGCTGGATCAAATGCAATTGAAAAATAATAAGATGGTTTTGATATTGATAATCAAAAAGACAAGCTCCATAGCAAGATATTTGTATGATGTTGCATCATGATGTAAACTACTGTTCAAAGGTTTCTTTGTAATGTTTTTGAAAGACGTCTCAAGACTGCATTTATTTAATAAAAACTAAAAATTGCTATTGCTTTTTAAATAGCCATTTTCTATTTCTATATCTATTTCAGTATATTTGATTTACTCCTGTAATGGGAAAGCGTAATTGTCAGAAGCCATTACTCCAGTCTTTAGTGTCACATGATCCTTCAGAAATCATTCTAATATGCTGATTTGGTGCTAAAGATACATTTCTTCTTATTACTATTCTCAGTGTTTTGCTGCTTAATAATATCTTTGTGGAAACACTGATACAGTTTTTCAGTATTCTTTGATGAATAGAAAGTAAAAAATTAAAATTAAAACTTTACTATCATATTAATTTCTTTCCAAAAACATTATCTTACTGACCCACAAACTTGGGAACTGTAGTGTAATGCAAATGTGGATTCAACCAAAATGTCTACTAGAGGTGTCCATACATGTTTGGCTGGGTCATCCATGGCCTTGACAAATTTAGCCGAGTCAATGGACGTTGAGCGTATAGTGGCCGCCAGAATTATGTCTGATCAATGTGTCCTGGCTGAATATATGTATCTATTTCTTTCAAAAAAGATCCCAGATAGTATAGTATAGTTTAGTGATCCCAAACCTTTGAACTGCGGTGTATATTAGCTTATTACATGGCTCTGTGGAATACTTGATTCTGATTGGTTAGTCGCTCTTACTGACCCACAAACTTGGGAACTGTAGTGTAATGCAAATGTGGATTCAACCAAAATGTCTACTAGAGGTGTCCATACATGTTTGGCTGGGTCATCCATGGCCTTGACAAATTTAGCCGAGTCAATGGACGTTGAGCGTATAGTGTCGGTTCGGCCCAGTCTGAACATGCGGAGGGAAGCGCTCTCATAGGTAGGACAACAGCACTTGTAAAACCTGAAACAGAGAGTTTGTGAATTAACTGAATAAGCTAAACTAATCATTAACTTCCTAATAATAACAGAAGGATGTTACAGTTAAGAAATAAATACAGTAAACACCATTAATAGCAGTGCTGGTGAAGTTTACCTGTAGTATGCCAGCTGGAGAGCAACCTGAATAAAGACATCAGGGCTCATCTTCTGCGACTTTGGGAAATCTTTGCCAAAATGGGAAAACACACTGACTTTCATGTCCAAGTCATGTACCATTCTGCAGAGAAGGAGAAGAGAAACCTTCAAACTTTCAACATTTAACATACTGCAATGTTGCTTGTCCAATAAAACAACCAATCAAAATGTTGGTAATAGAAAGACTGAGTGGAATGTCTCGATTTCTTACATGTTCATGTTTTGTTTGGCCTCCTCAATGTCCTTTTTGATCTCTGGCGTGATGTTGAATCGAAGCTTCTGTGGCATACGCAGCGGGACCATTGGGGTACGGACCATCTCTGACGACTTCCTGTACAAATATGTGGTAAATCTTATTAGCGTTAGCCATACTTACAATCTAGCCATGGGAAAACCACTTTTCCACATTTAATCACTGTTAATCTTACATGTATTGCACCACATGGTCGATCAGTGACACGATGGGAGGGCCCTCAGCGGGGGCGTGTTCATAGATCAGCCCACATGTCCCGTCCTCTCCAATAATAAACTAGAAACCATATTAATCATCATGACAGTATCAGGATCTTGATACATTTGATGTTTTAGGCTTTATTTCTCAGTGAGAGTTCACACACATCAACTCGTGGGTCTCTAACCTGCAATGTTTTGTCAAACCAGCGATTTCCACTGTTCCACCTGCTTCCCCCTCCATGCAGCATCTGAACTCCAGCACGGGTGCGGTACATGTCATCAGACGCACACGGCAAGGGGGCATCCAGACAGACTGTAAAGATACTCTTCTGAATGGCTCTCACAGACTCTTTGTTTGTTTTATCTGAAAGTGACACAAAATAAATTAAGAATCACCCTAAGTTTAACCCTAACCCTACATTGATTTTCTTTTAATGAACTGAAAGCCTGTAGAACAGCTACAGTAACAACTTTAATATTATGCCGCCAAAATTATGTCTGATCAATGTGTCCTGGCTGAATATATGTATCTATTTCTTTCAAAAAAGATCCCAGATAGTATAGTATAGTTTAGTGATCCCAAACCTTTGAACTGCGGTGTATATTAGCTTATTACATGGCTCTGTGGAATACTTGATTCTGATTGGTTAGTCGCGACATTCCGAGGTATGTTATCGCTCGTTATTACACGGCTCTGTGGAATACTTGATTCTGATTGGTCAGTCGCGACATTCCGAGGTATGTTATCCCTCGATAACAACCGGTAAAAGCTAATAACACAGGCTCATCCAGGTAACAGCAGTCGGCGCTGTACTCTTGCTTAAACTATTTTCTCTTGGTGAAAGCTTTGCGTTTGTTTAGCTAATAAAATATTAAAACTCGATTCAAAATGGTGTACAACTATTTAATTATGTCATCCTGGTATCGCGGACTCGCTCTTGTTTCATACAAACGCAGCTGCTGCCATTTTGCTACGATTGTTTTGTACACTGTAATGGATTATAAGAGA